CCCCAAAACCCCAAAACCCCAAAACCCCAAAACAAACTAATTTTAATACAAAAGTTCAATAATAAAATTTAAAATCAAAAATGTATTCAATTATCTTTTAATTTTGTGGTAAAAGTTATTACCAAATCTTTTATTCCAATATCCTCAGGAAATTAAGCATTATAGTTTTGAAGTAAGTCATATAAAACCTCCTATTTCGTTTATTCTGCAATGACTACTCTATCTTCTTATTTTAACTAGATTGTCTCGTATTAAAATTATGTTAATTCTAATTTATGAACCCATTAGTTTTGAGCTGCTTTTTTATCTGCTTTTTCTTATATTTATAGCAATAATTCTGATTTTTCGAGCAAATTATTATTTTCATTCTCCTCCTTAAAAGCTATTTGAACATTTCTTATTTGAGAATAAATTATTTTGAGAGGTCTTTTGCTATTGTGTTCTACTATAGATTTTTCATAATTCTACATTACTTGATTTAATGTTTCTATGATGATCTGTTAGAACAAATTACGATTGCATTCACTTTTTTATCCTTCTATGTCATTAGAATCTGGCTAGTTGGCTTTTTCCATATTTTCATCACCGATAGTATGAATGATGAAATACTAATAGAAAGTATTATAATCAATTTCAATCTTTGGAATCTTGTATATTATCATGTTTAAACCTTTCAACCGCTTGCTTCTTCTTAAATTTTTCTGATACTCATTGTTAATTTCAAATTTGTTGCATTCCATAATAGCTATTTAGCTAGGCTAAAATGCATTAAAATCAATTAAAAAATTCTCTTTATAACTAATAAATAGATTGATAACTCTATCCTCTTCAAATCTCAAAGCATTCTAGAAATTTTCAATCATATTTTATCCATAGTTTACATCGAATAGACTATAAGGGTGAAATCTTACAAAGATTTATCTAGCATGCATCAAGTGCGAGAAGTCAAGATTGTATTAGTCTTGGAGATCTCTCATAAAATCTAAAACATCCTTCCCAAGATCTAATTATACGGGATTCCCTTAGTCATCAAATGATAGATATGATTTCATACTTTTCTAAACATCACATGCTTATTAGTAATCAAAGTCAGTTTTAAATGGATTAAAGACTGGATCAAAATATACTGTGCTGCATTAAAACATATACTGCAAGGAATTCAAAGACCTCTCAATAAACCAATCAAATTACTATTTAACTAACCTAATCTTAATTTATTCCCCTAAAACTTTTAGTTATTAGTAAGGAGCATTTATATCTTATGTAAAAACAATCATGCTAAATTGTTAATACTCTGTCTATTTCAAACTGCTTATGGTTTTTGAGCTAATTATGTAATTTATTTTTGTAAATGGGTAATCTTAAGTGTACTCCCTAAAAAATTCAGCCAATTATTTCAGATTTTCTACTATAAATTTACAGTATGTTCTCGATTTTGGAAAAAATAAATCTTAAGTATCTGATTCAGTCAATTCAAGACCGGTTAAGTCGAACATCGCAGTGTAGCCAAAATTAAACGTAGCTGATTAGAAGTTATTAATTATTTGAATAATATCTAGCATGTTTTCATCACTAACTATCATTTGATCTGTAGGATATTAAGGTTAATGATCAGAAAGTTTAAGTTTTTTGTAAAGTTACTGTAGTTCTCCTGATGTATTATTAAAATTATGTTCATATATTTCAAGAGATTCTAATAATATCCTGTTAATGTAGTTTAGTGTAAGGTAGCTATTTTCGATGAAAAAATTATTTAGTTAGAATTTCTTTTTCATATTTAAGAATTAGCATTTTAAGATCCAAAGAATCATATATTTTGCATTTACCTAACTTTCTTAAATTTAATTTGACTAGCTTTCTTCCATGTATGGCTTGAGAATGTCTTGAGCTCTGAAGATATTGTAAAATTTATAAATAAATGCTAGTTTCTTGGGATTTACAGTCAAATTCACAAAAGGATAATCTGGGTGATAAAAGTATGTTTTTTATTCAAGCTGTTTTTCTTCAAAGCCTTTAACTTTGATAGTAAAATTATGATCGGAATAATAGCTAGATGATAGCATTTAGATTTCCTGAAGTAGGAGAATGTCTTTAGACAATTCTTAATTATCTTTAAGCAGTAAAACATAATAAATATCCCAGTCTATATCAAATAAAGTTTTGTCTAATTTTTTTAGTTTTATCACTTCTAACAAGTAATAACTAAGGCAAAAATTATCACTCAATAGACTTGTCTCTAAATATAAGGGAAGTCGATTTCCAAATAAATCATCTAGATCTTAAGCCTTAGCTTTACTTATTCTTTCATTATTTTAGTTAATTATATATTCCAAAGTTTCACTGTAAGTATCCTTGATTTAAACCCCATTTTTTTCTTCTTTCAAAATACCTTTAGATTTGAAATAATCTGCAGGTCTCAATAAAAGTTCAAAATTTTATTTTCCTCTTCTAAAACTATCAAAGTACTACTATATTTAGTAATCAGTCTGTAATATATTTAGTATGAATGACTAATGTTGTTAGTGCTTTATGAGTTATCTCAGTTTTATCATTCCAACCTTGAGATAAAACTCATCTATAAACTAATGAATCCCTAAAGAATTTTCAATATAACTAGTTATTATTGATAATTAACTAGCATATTGATCTTCCAATTCTTGATTGTCACATCTTTCGTTCAGCTCCAAAATTAATTCAACCATTTAAGGCAGCATCAAAAATTTCTTGATAATTATTATATGAGTTGATTGTTCATCATTTATTTTTGCTAATGTGTCTTATTATTTTATTTAAATCTAATGCTTTTACAAATACAAGTCAATTGCATCAAATTATTCCCCTTAATGTTTAGTAATTTAGAATTAAAGTTGAGTCATGGGCCTGATCAAGTAATTTTTTATGGCAATCAAGTCGGCTTATGTAATATCATCAAATTTCTAGGGCCATATTACTTTGGCTAAATTTATTCTGCCGTATTCTAATGCAAGTGCAAATGGATGTATTAATTTGTCGTAATCGTTAGTTAATTTATTAAATAATAGTCTCTTTAAATTTATCAATTTCTACCTTTGCTCATCAGTAAAAAAGCTTAGATATTTCTCGATAATATCAAAGTAACCGTTTTGTATAAAAAAATGCAATGCAGAATAGTCATACTCATCATTCTATTCCTACTAGTTGAACTCAGTAATTGTTAATTGGTAGTTATATATCTCATTTACTTTTGCTACAATATCTGGGTTTCTTGCTTGCATTAATAGCCAAGAGAAAATAAAGGGATATTCATCTAGAGGAACCTGCTATGGATTTATAAAAGTAGAGATATACTCCTCATTTATATTATCAGCATTAATTATGTATGTTAGCATCATCTTGATATTTAATTTTCGACTCTATAAGTAAGTCTTTGCTATTGAAACTTTTCCAGCTCTTAACAAATAAGTTACTAAATCATCTTCTTCGGTGATTAATCCAAAATAGTAGGTAGTAGATGAGATCTTATGGAAGGACTGGATAGTTTATTATTAATCAAAATTGACAGAAGCATTTTTATATTTATCAATGTAAGAGAAATCGACAATATTTAAATCTTCCATATGCGGATATAATTCTACAATCAATTTATCAATCTCTTATTGACTATAAGATTTATTAACTAAACTGATGAATATAGCCATCTTTGTATCATTATTCAAGATTTTCCAAGATTTTTTGCTTTAAAGAATAAACTTCTATGTTTCAATGTCATTATTGTTGAATACAGAGGCAATAATTATTCTAATAATTTCTATGTTAAGTTAAGGGCACTCTTTTTAAAATATAGAAACTTCTTGTAATAGCTAGTTTTAAATTAAAGGAATAATAAACTTATTTTTCAAAGTAGAGTACAAATTTTCTTATTAGAGGATATCGCATATTATCTTACATAATTATTAGATTTCTTTCTCAATCAATTTAATCCTTTCATGCGAAGTATCGAAAACTTCCATAATTAAGTTTAGCCTCTCTGCAGAAAATATTTAACTTGCAAACTCACAAGCTATATTTGATTAAGGTGCTGAAGTATTGTTTCTCAATTTTGTTTCTAGAACTAAATCTTTCAATGATTCTAGCTCTAACAGTACATTATTTTTTAAATTCTAATCATGCTCTTCATTTAATTCATTAGGTTCTTCCATTGAAATAATTTTTAGTTAGTAAAGCATTTTGTCCAAGAGTATTAATCTTTATTTCAAAAGCTTAGGCTAAAGCTATCTTATCAATTGAACTTTTAGTTTTTTGAAATTTGGCATGTAAAATGAGGATAGTAGCTCTAGTTTATTGAGGCTGAACTAGTCAAATTAAATCCTGTCAAGTAGAAATTCCAATTTCTCTTTAATATAAACTTCTTCGAATATATTTTGCTTCACTACAAAATTAAAGTAGATCATACTTACTTTTTTTAAAATCTATTTTAAGAAACAATCTAGGCTTTCTGATTCAATTTTCATCATAATAATCACCAATGATATGTTTTTTCTTTAAAAAATTCTTGACACATTTTTAATATGCACAGATTATCTTGACTGTAGATTCATAAGCCTCCTTCTATTCATTTGTTACTGATTCATGATAAACAGGCAAAGATTATTATTCAATATTGTTAAATCTTTCCTTTATTTATTATTCAGACCTATAAAAAATAATAAGTTAAAATAAATTTGTGTTAATTTTACCATGTATAAATTAAAGGTCTCATTTCTGCTACTTAATCAAAGTATCTCATCAAGAACCAATATTCTAGCAGAGTAAATATTTGAGAATTTATAATCTTAAATTGCTATGCTAAGTCATTGATTAGTATTAGATAGTCCTCGAATTCTTGATCTGTCACATTTAATGCTTCTTAGAATAGATTTCTTTTGGTGATATCATTTAAAAGCTCAACATAAGCAGGAACTTAAGCGAAATTAGCAATATTTCCATAGAGATATTTTATGTTGCTTTCCTTTGAAATATTTCTTCCTCCAAGCATTTAATAATTCTAGCGCTTATTTTTTAGGAATATAACTCTATGCGAGTAATGAATGATTTTTGCTAGCTTATGCTGAATTTTGACTCTGAAGTTTTATATATTATCCCAATCATCATAGTATGATAGCAACTCATTGATAAATCTAATGAATACAGGAGTACTTAGTTTTTAATAGATTTCTGAAAACATAAATATATTTTCTCTATCTTTATGATAAGATTTCTAATGTATTTTGAAGTAAAAATGAAGTATTTTTGATTCAATTAGATAAGTAATGAAGCAATCAAGGATATCTTTATCTGCCTATTAAATTGGATAAATGAATTGATAAAATTACATCGCATATGAAAAAAGAAAGATTTTAGTTTTCAGTCAAGAAGTAGGTATATAGGATTTTTTACTTGTTGTGCTCAAGTACATTCTTTTTTAGATCATTTTAAATATATATACTATGATCAATCTATAAGACCTAATATCTAAGACGATAAGCAATAAGAACTATTGATATTTTAGGGTAAGTTTGTATAACTGAGAGTTTTATTAAGTAAATCAATAATTCTAAGAACATAAAGGTTCTAAGTTAATCCTCTATAAATATGAGTATCATTTCTTAATTATTTTGTCTAAATAAAGCCTCTGAAAACCTTATAATTATCGATTTATATTGCTTGTCTGTGTAATATTTTAAAATGTGATTAGGGCAAAAATTAGTTAATAGAATATGGCTTTTAAATTATGCCTCCTTTATCTCTATCAAATAAGCCTTATGATTGTAAAACAAATCTTGAAATATTTCCTAAATCGAATCTTCACAATCTCTTGCGCAAATCATCAAATCTATTAAATATGGCTAAAACAACTCCTTATCAATCCTTTTATAAGCATAATCAATTAGTTATTTATTCTAGGGTTAATTGAGAAGAACATATTTAAGGAAGTATGACACTTAATGATAGTCATTAGTTTAACAATTTTTTTGGTTAATATCTTTGGGATCCTCTTCAGTAAGAATACTTATAGTTTTAAATGTGCATATTGAATTGCATATATTATATCCTTAAGATTCAAGTTTTTAAAGTTAATCTAAAGTTAGAAAAGCTCCTAATTTGTGTAAGAATTTGCCTAATGATGCATAACTCATTATTTGCCTTTGAAATAATAAATACTCGTTTGATAGATTTCCAAAAAATCTTAACTCCTTATCTTGCTAATTTACACATTTCTATTTAATTATTTCCAACTAATTTTATTCAATTCCATTTATTACTAGTAATTATTTACGATCTTCAAGCTATGAATCTTTGATAAAAGCCAAGTAAGCTTAATTTTAAGCTTATTATCCTTCAAACATATATTATCTTTAATTTTGATTCAAGTTTTAGATAATCTAAGAAACTATGGTAAATACTTTTAATGTTTGTTCAATAGGAAAATCCTGCAGGTTTTATGCAATCAGCTATTTTTCGAATAGTCCAGATTAAGGAAGCAAAATTTATTAACCAATTTTGATACAATCTTCAGCAAAATTCAAGTTTTTATTAATTAATGCTAAACTAATAGGAGTATTTCCATTATAATCAATGCTATTTAAATTGTTGAACTAAACAGAATCTGTCCTTAAAAGTAGATCAAAAAGATATTTTGCCTCTATTTCAAAATTTTGATCCTAAGAAAGTAGATGTAATGGAGTAGATATTTGATTTAGATTGCAAGAAACTTCAAAGTTTTTAAGAAGCTTCCTGTAGTATTTTATTTTCTAACCGAATTCCTAAGGTATTATAAAAATTTTTATCAACCATAAATCTATTTCAGACAACTTTTGAATTTTCAGCCGAGGATAGCACCCAAATTCAATCACTTATTCTAGTAATTTGATGGCACTTGCACAATTATTACTGTTAATATTTATTGTGAGTGCTTAATGCTTATAGAACATTTTAAATATCAAGTAATATCCATTTATTATGTAAGTTTGTGATTCAATTGAATTCGGTATCTACATTCCTTACCAAATGTTATCTAATTCATTAGCTTCTTATTCTAAGATCTCAGGCTTTTCAAATACTCCTAGGTATACTGGATATTAATCATTTCTAAGATTAATTTTTCTTGCAAATTCCATTTCTTTAAAATCTCGATACGGAAAATTACTTTTGAAGTTATTCATTTCAGCCTAATAATTTATAGGATAGAATGAGAAATTTTCAATAAGATACTTTTTTAACTAATTGAGCAATTTAACTAGTAATTCATATTAGCCTTATTCAACCAACTGTTTTATTTTTTAAAAGATGTATTCTTAGATTTACTCAATTCTAATGTCAAATACCTAAAATGTAAATCCATCATTAATAATCTCTTCAAAATATTAACTTTAATCTTCTTGAGAGAAGAATTTGGTGGTAAGATATTCACAATATTCATTTATAGAGTAAGACTCTCTATTTAGAATAATGTATTTGAACATATTAGCTTTTAACTATTTCAATAACTTAATCTATTCTGTTTTTCTCTTTTATAAATAGTCTGAATCTCTTTTAATTTTATAATTAGCTTTAATATCATTCGAGAATAATGGTTAAAGTATTATGTGATATTTTTATGATAAATACTTGAAAAATAATGGATCCTTGATATCTCTATAATTAGTGAACATATCCAAACTAAGTTCCTCAATTAGATTCTTGCTGTTTAATTAATCTTTAAAAGTAAATAGATCTTAATGATGTTCAATAAGTCTCTCGACTCCATCTATGTCATGTTTGATACATTAAGATTTTAATAGCAAAAAATAATAGATAGACTATAACTCTTTATTCGGGAATTTAATTTGGTTTTTAATCGCATTATAAAGTGACCAATTCTATGATCCAGCAGAAGCAAAAGCAAGTTGTAAAATATTATCAAACTTAGTTGGAATTGATTTTATATCCTCTTAATTGAATGCAGCGTCTGTAAAAATGTAATCATATTATCTTCTTAATTGAATTTCATTTTCAATAAATTATTCTTGATTTTGCTATCCTAATTAAACTTTTAGATATTCCATTTAACCATTTTATTCAAGAATTTTGTCAATCAATAATTAGTAAGAGTGCAAAAAATTATCAAGATGCTCTTTGCTAATATTTATTAATCTATGAAAGAGCTCCAGTAATGCCTGAATTGAGTAAATATCTTGTAGTTAGTTTTTCTCCGAAATCTAGATTAAATAATCAAAACACTAATGTTACTCATTTTAGCAGCAAAACTAAAGATATGATTTTAGATGTTAACTAGTTAAATATGTCTAAGAATTTTGCATCACTTAATGAATAATCTTTAATACATCTAAAAGTCCCAATTTCAAAGCTAATTCTATCGGATGAATTGGTTAAACTATTTCCTAAATCCCCTAAAATCTTTTATTAGCATTTTTCTCCTCTTTTAATGTATATATATTTAGATTCGATAAGCTTTATTAGACCAATAAAGTCCTATTCAACATTAAAATCAGAAGTTCTTAATCATTTAGAGTAATACACTTCTTTTTGAGATTGAATATTAAGTAACTAACAGGATAATTTCCATAATTATCTGTTATAACTTCCATTTAATTATCAAATTGCAAAAATTACTGATAGACATTCATTATTTCTTTACTTTCTAAATATTTATTTTCTTAGAGAAAATGCAAATAATTTTTGCCATTATTAGCTTAAGTTTGAATATTTAATTTGCTGATACCTATAAGATTTATAAATTCTTAAATCTTGTCAAATGAGAACTAAGCTAGAATTTTTAGGAAAGTGTTAGTTCCATCTTGAGCTCTCTAATTTAACAGGTTTTCAATATCAAAATACCCTTATTGGGCTAATTTTTATAGTAAAATCAAGAAATCGTCCTGATGCTAATTTCTTACTAAATCAGTTAATAAATTAGTTCCAATTATCCTGTCAATAATCACATTCCTTACATCTCCATAAGCTAAAGCATCTGCTCGACATATCTATTCAATTAGTTCGTCATACTTATGATTTTGTTTCAAAAAAATTATTTGCTAATCTTTTAACTTTGTGTACATCATCTAAAATAAATAGTCAAAATCAATAAATTTAATAGGTTTTACCTACCTTGATATCAATTCTATTACCATTCATAATATTTCGATCAATAAGATTTCCATATTAACTCACTATATCTTCATAGAATTCAATCATATTTTAATCTAGTAAAATATGAAAAAATGTCCTCCCATTCTTGTCCTAAAGATTTAAGTTTACAGCTTTATCATTTGTGTATTCTTAATTAAAAAAGTTCTGTAGCAAGCTTGATAGCATATTCTTTTTTCTTAACTAGGCAAGTAAGTGCAGCGGGGTTTCTAATAACGAATTTTACTATTCAATATCCTAATAGGATCAAATTAAAAATAATTACTCTGATTTAAAGTTGGTTAATTTATTCCTCTTTCTTTTAAGATTCCACTTTTAAATTATTAATCTCTTATATTTAGAAGTTCTAATTTCAGATATCAGTTATTTCCTATATTAAGGCATTTAGTATTACTTATATCTTACACTTTCTTTTTCTTATTATTCTTTTATATATATTTAAAGTTCATTAACCGTTTTGATAAAAATTTCTGAATCTGAGTCTTCAAAAATATAGCATAAATTATGAATGAGATAGTTTCCCATAGAATCATTAATGCTCAATAATCTCAGTCCATTATTTTCTATAAAATTTTAAATTTCTTTGATTATTTGTCTGCTATCTGCTTCAGATTAAACATAAAGAAGCTAGATCAGTTCGTCCATTTTAGAGCAATCTAATTATAAAATTTATTCAACAAAAATATTGTATAATTGATATACCTTTTTATGATGCTTAACTCATTTAGCTAAATGCTTATT